CCCCTTTTTATCACTGATAACCATCTCTGAAGTCTGTTCTCTCTTAAATTAGAAAGCTACTTCCCGTTTCTTTTGATGAGTGTTAGCATAGTATATCTTTCTCCGTCTGTTTTCTTTTAATCTGTATGTGTCTTTATTATTTTTTTTTTTATTAAATTTTTTTTTTCAACGTTTATTTATTTTTGGGACAGAGAGAGACAGAGCATGAACGGGGGAGGGGCAGAGAGAGAGGGAGACACAGAATCGGAAACAGGCTCCAGGCTCTGAGCCATCAGCCCAGAGCCCGACGTGGGGCTCGAACTCACGGACCGCGAGATCGTGACCTGGCTGAAGTCGGACGCTTAACCGACTGCGCCACCCAGGCGCCCCTGTATGTGTCTTTAAATTTAAGGAGGGCTTCGTAGAGCCAACATATAGCTGAATCCTGTTTTTTCATCCAGTTTGGTAATCTCTCTCTTTTTTTTTTTTTAATTTTTTTTAACGTTTGTTTATTTTTGAGAGACAGAGAACGAGCAGAGGGAAAACAGAGACAGAGGGAGACACAGAATCCGAAGCAGGCTCCAGGCTCTGAGCTGTCAGTGCAGAGCCCGACGTGGGGCTCAAACCCACGAACCATGAGATCATGACCTGAGCTGAAGTCGGACGCTTAACCGACTGAGCCACCCAGGCACCCCAGTTTGGTAATCTCTTAATTTGGTGCATTTTAGATCATTGATGTCCAAAGTGATTATTGATACAGTTGAATTAATAGTTACCATATTTGTTACTGTTTTCTGTTTGTTGCGCTTGTTTTCTGTTTCTTCTACTCTTGTTCTTTTCTGCCTTTTGTAGTTTTAACTGGGCATTTTATGGTTTCATTTTCTTTCCTTTCTTAGCATATCACTTACAATTTTTTTTTTTTTAACTTTTGCTAGTGTTTACCCTAGAACTTGCAGCATACATTTACATAGAATCCAAGTTAGCTTTCAGATGGCACTGTTCTACACTGTGGATAGTGTCAGTATCTTGTAGTAACACAATAATCCTAATTCCTTCTTCATACCCTGTGTATCATTGCCGGTATTTATTCACTTATGTATAAGCACATATATGTGTATTGAATACATTGTTGCAGTTATTATTTTGAACAAACTTTCTTTTAGATCAATGAAGATTAAGATAAATAAAAGCTTTTATTTTACCTTTACTTCTTCCTTCTCTAGTGCTCTTTCTTTATGAAGATCAACTTTTGACTTTTTCCTCTTTGCTTTTTTTTTTAACTTTATCTTGCTTTAATATTTCTTGTAAGACAGGTCTTAGTGGTAACAAATTCCTTCAATTTTGTTTGTCTGAGAAAGTATTTTCCTTCATTTTTTCCCCTTTCTTTCTTTCTTTCTTTCTTTTTTTTTTTTTTTTTTGAGAGAGAGCGAGCAAGACAGAGCACACATGGGTGAGCTGGGGAGAGGCAGAGGGAAGGGGAGAGAGAGAATCTTAAGTGGGCTTTGCACTGACATGATGAGGGGTTTGATCTCACAACTCTGAGATCATGACCTGAGCCAAAATCAAGAGTCAGACGTGGAAACAATTAGCCACCCAGGTGCCCCTCCTTCATGTTTGAAGGGTAGTTTTGCAGGGTACGGAATTCTGAGTTGGGTGTTTTTTCCTTTATGTAAACATTTCACTCCATTCTCCTCTTGCTTGTGTAGTTTCTGAGAAGTTGGGTGCAATTCTTATCTTTGTTCCTCTACAGGTAAGGTGTTTTTCTGTTTGGTTTTATTTTTTACCTCTGGCTTCTTTCAGTATTTTTTCTTTATCTTTGGTTTTCTGTAGTTTGAAAATGATGGGGGTAGTTTATTTGGTATTATTCTTACTGGATGTTCTCTGAGTTTTTGGGATCTGTGGCTTGGTGTTTGACATCATATTAGAGAAGTTCTCAATCATTGTTGGTGTAGGTATTTCTTCGTTTTCTTTATCTCTTTCTTCTAATATTCCTACTACATACACATCCCTTCGATACTCTGTTCTGTGTTCATCAATCTTTCTGCTTGCTTTTCAGTTTAAAAATTCTTTCTTATATTTATTTATTTTTGAGAGAGAAGAGTGAGCAAGCAAGCGAGCGGGGGAGGGGCAGAGAGAAAGGGAAACACAGAATCTGAAGCAGGCTGCAGGCTCTGAGCTGTCAGCACAGAGCCCGACGAGGGGCTCCAACTCACAAACTGCGAGATCATGCCCTGAGCTGAAGTCAGACGCTTAACCAACCTGAGCCACCCAGGCTCCCCTTGCTTTTCAGTTTTAGAGGCTTCTTTTGAGATATCCGTAGGCTCCGAGATTGAGCTGTATCCAGTCTAACATGCCCATCAAAGGCTTTCTTCATTTCGGCCACCGTGGTTTTGATCTCTAGCATCTCTTTGTTGGTTCTGAGAATTTTCGCCTCTGCTTCCATCGCCCCTCTCCTTTACGTGCCGTCTGCTTTGTCCAGTACAGCTCTTACTCTTAGTGTGTACATCCAAGTTGTTTTAAATGCTTGGTCTCATAATCCCCAAATCCTTGCCATATCTGAATCTGCTTTTGACGCTTGCTCTGTCTCTTCAAACTGTGCTTTTTGCCTTTTCGTGAGTCTTGTGATATTATTCTTCCTTCCTAGCTGGACAGGATGTACTGGGTACAAGGACTTGACGTAAATAGGCGTGTAGTAATGTATTGGTAAGGTGTGAGGGAGGAGAATCATTCTGTAACCCCGTGATTAGGGCTCAGTCTCTCAGGAGCCTCTGCCTGTGGACATGAACTTCACCAGTGTTCCTCATTTTTTTTTTTTTCCAACTCCCTGAGGTGGGTAAGGATGGCTAAAGTGGGCCGGGTTTGGGTCTGTCCTTTCTCCCGTGTGGAAGGCTGTAGGGGGCTGGAATTGGGTACTTCTCCTCCTCCAGGTAGCTTAGTCTCCGATAATACCCCGGCAAGCTAGGCTCTGGTGAACTGGTTTCCTCTGAGGGGCAGGTGTTGTCAAGGATAGAATGCTCCAGCGTGTTTCAGAATGGTTCCTTTTCCCTTCTACCTGCCAGAAGTATGGGTTTTTCTCTGATGCTCACTGTGAGTACAGGGTGGAGGCCCTAGGGGTAAAACTCACAAAAGTGGGTGCCCTTGGAATGCTGAACTCTCCTACTTGGCCCTGGTGAATTTCCAGCAGCTTATCAGTTCCAGTCTTGGTTGCCCTACTCTGGTCCTGGTTTTCTGGGGGGTGTCTGCCTGTGGGATTTTGCTCCAGTAAGTTGTGATTCTCTGCCTTCTCTTCAGGTTGGGGGGCACTGGCTTGCCCCTGTGACGTCACGTGTCTTAAGGGTTAAGAAGGGTTGTTCCTTTCTCAGCGTATTCATCTATTGTTAGGATGGAGTAGAAACTTCTGAGCCTCTCCCGTGCTGGACTAGAAGTTGTGAGTCTGCTTTATGTGTTTGTAATTTCATTTTTCCTCCTAGCAACAGGCGGTTTTTATTGCCATTTTACAAACGAGGAAACCAAGGCACGGACGGTTAAGTCACTTGCCCAGGGTTCCCGAGCTAAGTGGCGAAACCAGGATTTGAGCTCGGGGTCTGTGAGTCCTGAGTCTGTGCTCTTGGTCACTGTCTTATAGGAGCAGGAACTCTGGACTACAGGGGTCTGCCTTGGACACCCATCTCTGCCCTCCGGGGGGTGTGGCCTTGGGCAGCTCTAAATGCCCCGTAGGTCGTGGCATGTAACACACAGCACTCTGGACGAGGAACTTCGGAAGAAATGGTCGCTGTTGCTGCTGCTGTTATTAGTCTGAGTTGACTGTGTTTTCTGGGTGGCTCTGAGGATTGTGTTCGTTTACTAAGACATGAGAGCACTTGGTTGGATGCTGAGCTCCTAGCAGGTGCTCAACAAACGGTGGGGGTTCGTTCTGTAAATGCAGGTGAGCGCGGACTGGGAACACCTTCCGGAACTATCCTTGCGGTCACAGCTCCTGCGGCTCTTGCAGGCTTGTGAAGTTTGTTCACACAGGTCACGCTTCTGAAGCTTCTCGTGGGTTTTTGCGGGCGTTTCTCCGAGTGATTCGTGGGCAGCCTCACTTGGTTGTCTTTCCTGCCAGGGGCGCCGAGGGTGGGAGCACGAGTGAGACCCGTACGCGTGGCTCTCTGTTGTCTGGCCGCCTCTCCCACCTGTCTGGAGCCCCTGCAGAGCAGGTGGAGTCCGGAGGCCGACCTTTCCCTTCCTCAGCTTACCCCTCACGCTCGTCCCTCGAGCGCCTGTACCACCGAGTGGCATGAACAACCGATGTTTCTGGTCGCGCAGTTCTGGAGGCTAGCGTTCCAAGATCAAGGTGTCAGCGAGGTTACTTCCTCCTGAGGGCCATGGGCAAGAGTCTGTTCTCTGCCTCCCTCTGAGCTTCCAGCGTTTCGCCAGCAATCTTTGTCGTTTCTTGGCTTGTAGACTCGCCACCTGGATTTCTGCCTTCATCTCCACGTGGGATCCCCCTGTGTGCATGTCCCTGTCCAAACACCAGACCTGTTGGATGGCGGTCTGCCCTGATGACTTCTTCTTAGCTAGTTACAGCTGCAGTGACCCTTTTTCCAAATGAGGTTTCATTCCTAAATACTGGGGGGTTAGGACTTCACTACGTGGATTTTGCAGGAGACACGGTTTAACCCATAACACCCACCCTCCGGGGACAGTTGGCCCATGAACTAGCCCAATAGTGAGCCGAGGGAAAAGGCAGATGAGCAGAGCTGGAGCCTGATCATTCACAAGCGTTTCTCCTTTCGTGGGAGCTGGATCCACGAAGCGAGGAGCATGAACCTCCGTGGACGCGGCCTGGGGAGTAGCAGGAGCGGCCCGGGTGGGCCTGTGTGCGTTCAGGTTCAGACGCCCGCTCTTCCTCTCAGACTCGGGGCTCATCCCTCTGGGCCTTGGTTTCTTCATCTGCAATGTGAGCACAGTAATGCTTGTCCACTGAGAGTGGTTGTGAGTCCCAGTAAAATAACTCTGTGAAACCCCCCCACACCACGCAGAGAGCATTGGAGGACATAATACGCATTGGGTCGCGGAGCAGCGCCGGTCTGCATGGTAGACCTCGAGGCCCAGCCCTGCCCTCTGCTGGCCCGGCCACCTTCACTGGACCCTCATCTGTAAGCCCCGTCCCTCCCTTCTGACGCGGAGCCGCTACTGTTCCCCGGGCTGTGAGGGCCAGGTGCAGGGGCATGTCACACGTTTGCAAAGGTGCACTGTGGTCTGGCCGTGGTGGCGGTGGTGGTGACGGTGGTGGTGGACGTTCCATGGAGCCGAGGTTTAAGTGGGACACTTAATTGACTGTGCTCTCTTTCTGTTAAGGACAAAAGGAGTTATTCTTGTCCTGTGTGTGAAAAGTCTTTTTCAGAAGATCGATTGATCAAGTCGCACATCAAGACCAACCATCCGGGTAAGGTTATGCATTTTGGAGAGGAAATTAACTTTAAGATGCTTACGTTTCATTCATTTATTTGTTTGTTCATTCATTCATTTATTTTTAATGCGTTTTTAAATTATTTTCGAGAAAGTGCTGAGCGGGGGAGGGGTAGAGGGAAAGGGGAACCAGGATCCGAAGCGGGCTCTGAGCCAAACACGGGCCTTGGGCTCCTGAACCGTGAGATCGTGACCTGAGCCCAAGTTGGACCCCTAACTGACTGAGCCACCCAGGCACCCCTAAAATGCTTATGTTTATTTTAAAACACAGCATTACATGTCAACTGCACTAAACGGAAATAAAGAGGGACGGAGGTATGAGTAAATTTAAGGGATACGATTACCTTTATTTAAGGTTGGGAATTTATAACCATTTACTTCATTTTATCCTTTCATCTGGCCTTGAGATACTCTCCCCACACTGTCATCTCCCTTCCCCCTTTTCATGTGCACTTTGAATGCCTTCAGATGGGTCACTTACAATGCAGGTCTGACCTAGACTCCACTCCCTGGAAGCCGGTGCCTGGCCCCTGTGAAACACTTGTTCCCCAGCAGGGTGGTTTATGAAGGGTGTGCACTCCCAGACTGAGGAGCCTTGGCGAGTCGGGGTGACTGTCACCCTGGGTCTCCTCACACTGGTTTCCTTAGCCACTTAGAGGTGTGAGCACGAGCCACCTGGCCACTGCCTGCCACACTTCTGTTCTCGCCAACTGGGACACATTTCCTCCATTCTGCCCCGTTAATTCCTGTTTGTTCTCTGTGTTCTTCCTTGGGGAGGATTTGAGGGCTCCCTGGCTGGGGACGCTGACCCCTTGTGTTCAGGTCATTGCCACCTCCTTGCCACCCCGTGAGAGCCTTGGGGTAGGGCTGCCACGGTTAAGGCCCATCCCCAGATCTGGGTGTCACACGGGCAGGCCCGGGGGCACAGATGTGGGTGCTGACGTGGGTGCTGTGTGTGGCAGAAGTGAGGGACAGGTAAGCTGGTGCACTTCCCCTGCGTCCCTGTCCCTTTTCTCTTTGTTTTGTGTCCGCTCTTGTCTTCGAGCACCGACTGCCTGATTACCGATGATAATGGGGAAAAGAGAGATCACAGGGTTCACGAACTCTCACGTTCTGTCCGGGAGCAGATGGAGCCCTGAGGCCTTCACCCGTGGTGTCCTGGTGGCCTCGTCCTGCCCTCCCCGTGTCGGCCTGTGTCCCGTGTCACGTGCGTCCGGTGTGAGCCGGGGATGCTCATTTAAACCGCCCAACCTTTGCTCATGAACATGTGTGAGCTGTTTGTTCTTTCTCTTTGGCTGAAACTTCAGATCTCTACAAAACAGGGTAACAGGAGGGACCCCAAGGATCCATAACAGCCTGGCCTCTGCACCCACGTGCCCTTTATCAGATTTGTTTCCTGTACTGACCCTCCAGACTTTTGTCCTAGAATATCTTCAAGTTCGTCCCACACGCGTGCCATTTCCCTGTAAAAGAACTTAGGATGCATCTGTAGCAAGTAAGGGTGTCTTCTGAACACAGCCACTGGGTCGCCATTAAAACAGACTTGTTATGAGGAGCACTGGGTGCTATGTGTTACATTCTAAATCTGAAACCAATTCTACCCTCTATGTGAGCCAACTAGAATCTTTTTTAAAATTTTTTTTTTTTAACGTTTATTTTTGAGACAGACAGAGACAGAATGCAAGTGGGTTAGGGGCAGAAAGAGGGAGACACAGAATCCGAAGCAGGCTCCAGGCTCTGAGCTGCCAGCACAGGGCCTGACGTGGGGCTTGAAGTCACGGACCGTGAGATCATGACCTGAGGCGAAGTCGGACGCTCAACCGACTGAGCCCCCCCGGGCGCCCCTAGCCAACTAGAATTGAAATAAAAATGTGAGGGGCGCCTGGGTGGCGCAGTCGGTTAAGCGTCCGACTTCAGCCAGGTCACGATCTCGCAGTCCGTGAGTTCGAGCCCCGCGTCGGGCTCTGGGCTGATGGCTCAGAGCCTGGAGCCTGTTTCCGATTCTGTGTCTCCCTCTCTCTCTGTGCCCCTTCCCCGTTCATGCTCTGTCTCTCTCTGTCCCAAAAAAAATAAATAAACGTTGAAAAAAAATTAAAAAAAAAAAAACAAATAAAAACGTGAAATAAAAACAAAAGTAAACTCAGGTAAAACAAACAGAATTAATGGTAATTCCTTATCATTACCTACCATTAGTTCATTTAAAATTTCCCGAGTCCACCGAAGATTGTTTGAATCAAGACTCAGGCATTTTGTGTTTAGTTGTCCCGTCACTCGAGTGTCTTGTATTCTGTGGGACACCCCAGCCCACTTTTGTTCCCGTGACATCAATTTGTTGGAAGGACCGGGTCACTTCTCCTGTAGATGATTTCATGTCCTGCATTTGCATGACGGTGCCTTGTGGCATTGTTTCTCTGGCCCTCACGTTTTATGCTCACAGATATTTAGATCTGAGACTTGTAGATTCTGGTTTAACTTTTAGGCCAAAATTCTATTGCTGGACTCCATGGGGCACATCTGGATTTGTCACGTTAGTGCTGGGGTTCGGGCACTGTCACGAGGTTCACGCCCATCTTCCATGAGCTGATCTCCTTTGGCTTCTGATGATCACCCTGCTTTTCATCTAGAGGTCTCCATGAGCACTATTTCCGAGGTTCTCGGGAGGAGGGTTCAGCTGAAAGGGCTGATTGGAAAGAGAGCCATGAAGTGCCCGTATTGTGATTTCTATTTCATGAAGAACGGCTCAGACCTTCAGCGTCATATTTGGGCTCATGAAGGTGAGTACTCATCTCTCAGGATGGAGCATCCTTTCAATGTCGTGCTTCTGAGCTTCACGCGGGAGCGCTTTAGGGGGAAGCCGTGTCGCCATGCGCCCTGCAGTTAGACTTTCTTCCACTTACCCAGAAACGTGTGCAGCAGCCAGCTGAGCTCCATGATTTCAGTCACTGCCTGTTCAGTGGCAAGTGCGGTGAGCAGAGGCGTGCAGTTCTTTGTAGCTTTCGTTGGGATTGCAGCGAAATAAATCCGCACGACCCCTGCACTAGGCAGCGGGCTTCAGGAGGATAGGAACAGCACTGTCTCAGTCACGGAGGTGACTGGTGGCCGCCGTGGTGCACTGGCTCGGTAGGTGCTGAGGAAGTGTTGGTGTTGCACAGATGAGCAAAGGCGAAGAGGACAGCCGAACGTCGTCTGGTCCCGGCATCGTGGAGGAAGAATCCAGGAGGCGGGAGGAACACAGGCTGTGCTTTTGGGGTGCTTGCCTAGGAGGGGAGGAACGGGGAGCACACTCTGGGGCTTTGGGCAGTTGGAGGTCGGGAGACTGCCAGAGACAGTGGGCCACCAACTTTGCCTCCCGCCGTAGGGACGCGGCTCTCCTGGGGGTGAGGCTCGGTGGTGGGGACAGGGGGAGCCCTTCCGGATGTTTGCAGAGGTCCCGCCTGTGAGTTAGGAAGCTGGGAAGCTGCGGGCAGGAAAACAAGAGGGCTCCTGGGGAGGACGGAGGATGAAGAGTTTCTACGGCGTGGCCAGAAGCACCTGCTCTCTGGCCTCGGGGGAAGTGCTGTCAGGAAGGGAGAGGCGGTCGGGTTGGTCAGCGATGCAGCAGGGCCCACGCCAGGCAGAAGGAGCTGAGGTCAAAGCCGCGGAGGGGGAGGTGCGTTTGTTTACCGGCATGGGTGCACCCCAGCTCTGCGCCCCGGGCGCACCTTGCAGCCTCCCTGAAGCCTCAGGTTCCTCCACTGCCAAGTCTCAGGCCTCGTAGACAGGGGCTGAACCTGCCGGGCGCGCAGCGTGGCAGGATCCCCCTGCGCTCGGTGTCGGGAACAGCGTCCCTCTCCCCATGTGCGTGGCACCAGGTGTCGCAGCCTGTTTCGCTTTACCGGGGGCCCCCCCCCCCCCGGACGGGGGGGGGGGGGGGGGGGGCCTCTGAAGTTCAGAGAACCACCCCCCCGCCCCATGCTCGCTACGGAGCAGGTCCTCAGCAGGTGTTTGCTGAGTGAAGGGAGAGCAGCCAGGATGCCCCACAGTCCAGGCCATTAGCCCGACACCAGCTGATGTCAGGGTTCTGTTTGGTGTATGAAAATGTGCTTTCACATCTGATCCTAGGTGCCCGAGCACGTTGGGTTTTGCACACAGACCCTTGTTTCCTTGAATTTTTGTCAGCTCACCTCAGTCCCGTTGGATTGAGTGAACGTGTGCTGCAGGGACTGCCCGGGGTCCGTGCCCTCAGGGGGTTCCCAGACCGCGGGGAGCGGCAGTGTGAAGGACTTGTGATGCACTGTAGCAGAACAGCTAGCGGTGGGGTCCAGGACATTCGCTTGGGCGGGCCAGAGGAGACCGCCCAGGGGAGGCCCTGGCAGAGCCGGGAGGAAGGGCGTGGCGGGCCGAAGGAACAGCATGGAGGAGCAGGGCGAGGCAGGTGTGCGCCACGTTTAGGGACAGGCTGGTGCACTGCTTTGTTCAAAGTGGATGTGCACATGTATCCTTGGGATGCACACACGGATGCAGATAGGGGTGTGTGCATGTGTGTGTGTGTGTGTGTGATTCTGTGTGTTTTTTTCCCCTCTGGTAGGTGTGAAACCCTTCAAATGTTCTTTGTGCGAGTATGCAACTCGCAGCAAGAGTAACCTCAAGGCTCACATGAACCGTCACAGCACTGAGAAAACCCACCTGTGTGACATGTGTGGCAAGAAATTCAAATCAAAAGGGACGTTGAAGAGTCACAAGCTCCTTCACACTGCTGACGGTGAGTCCAGGACTCTGTACCATAGTGAGATTGTTTCCCTCTTGAAAGTGTGGTTTGAGGGGCGCCTGGGTGGCTCAGTGGGTTAAACGCCTGACTCTTGATCTCGGCTCTGGCCGTGATCTTACGGTCAGTGGGATGGGGCCCCGTGTCTGGCAACACGTGCTCTCTCTCTCTCAAAAAAAAACCCACAAAAACCCAAAAGTGTGGTTTGAAGCTGACATTCCAAGTTCAGCAGAAACTGTGGATGTGTTGCCTACAGGCAAGACAGAGCTGTGTCTTGTAGAATTTCAGTCCTGGGAGAGAGGGGACAGAACTCACCTGCTTCCTCATTTTCCCTGTGTTCAGTGTCGGAGGCTTGCCTGACCTCCACCAGTGCTTGCTGAACCTTGTGTGTGTGTGTGTGTGTGTGTGTGTGTGTGTGTGTGTGTGTGTGCATAGTGTGCATGCGCACGCTCACACACACTCGTGTGTATACATAGGGCGGTGAATGCGGAGGGGACGCTGCTTCAGGGAACAAGGCACCCTCGGGAGGCCTTGATCTCAAAGTTGGAACCTTCTTCAGCCCTCCACCCCCACCTGAGCCTGAGGACCTTGAGTAGCAGCCATGCTCACGATCACACTCGACCTGATCACACCTGGTCCACTTGATGCACACTCAAGTGGATGCATATCAGCTAAGCCACCGCAGGGGTTGATATTCAGCCCCAAAGGGGGGCTCAGTTTAAAATACACACAATGCTTGGGCAAATCTGACCTTGGTGAAGTACACTTCAGTGGATTTCTACTTTCATTCCTTCATTAAGAACCATGGATCGAGTTCTTCCTCCGGTCCAGCTGTGCCTGGGGTGTAGGGTCAGTAAGGAGCAGCCTCCGGCCCTGGGGAGTTTATAGCCCGGGGGTGGAGGTGGGGGTGGGGGGAGAACCACACACAGCTGTGCTGAAGGTGGATGCGGTGATGGAAGGCGGCTCGCAGCCCCGGGAGGAGGGTGTGAGTCGCCGTGGGGAGGACATGTGGTGGGCAGTCAGTGGTCACAGTGTCCAGGAGAGTCTCCCCGAGAGGGGCGGGATCGAGGGAAGACATGCAGAATCGTTGTAGGAAGCCAGGCAGCTAAACCACAAAGGCCTTTAACCTTTATTTATTTTCCTTTAAAAACCCCAGTTGTCGCAGGGTGTTGTGACTATTCCATGCAACAAGATTATAAACCATATCTATAAGTATATGGGTATTGACGCACAATCATATACAAAAACTGGAGTTCACCGTAACAATCAGAGTGATTTCAACAGTTACTTTTCGAGAGCGATACAGCCATTAGGTGATACCTTCATTGTAGAATGTTCCAGGGAACCCATGCTGGTGTGTGTGTGCATCTGGGTGAGCTCGGGGGATTGTGGAGAGGCCACATGCTCAGCGAGGCTTCGTTAGAGTTCAAGATCCAGGGCTTGCCCAAGGCTCAGTGGAGGCCAGAGCCATAACTATTCAGACTTCAACACTGTGCTATAAATAAGAAAATCCATAAGCAAAATAATTAAAAATGCAGTGACAGTAAAGCAGTCTTATCCTGAGTAATGAAAGCATTAAGTCATGTAATTATTCATGAGTTCTGTGCCTCTGTTATTTTTTGACATGGAAGCACCCAAGTCACTGAAATGCCTAATAACACAGTGTCACTAATGAGGAGCGGCCGTCCTCAGTGCCGGGAGGTCTGGGGTGTCCACGGGGCTGTGGTGTCAGGGTCTGGGGGTGCACTCTTGGGGCCAGGGAGGGACACTGTGGCCTCATGCAGGGCTCTGAGGTCTGGGTTCTGGCCTGAAAGGCTTTGGGGAGGTGGGGCGTGTCTAATCAGGGGCTGTGGACCGACCACCGTCAGATGCGGAGGGGACCGCTGGAGTGGGCAGCGTGTCAGGGCGGGCATGGCAGTGACATACTCAGCTTATGACACGTGTCACGTCACTTGCTTCCCCAAGCTCTTCAGCAGGAAAGGGAATTTGGAGAGGCAAAGGTGCTGTCTAGTGAAAGCAGGAAGACAGCCTTCCTGAAGTGCACCAGCTGTCTGCCCCACCTGGGCCTGAGTTTGGTGCGTCAGGACAAGGACATGAGACCGTCACACTTCCTGGGTCCCTCTCCGCCTCTGTGCTCTGTGAGGCCAGAGGCAGGTGGCTGGTGAAGATCTGGAACTCCGTGGGGCAGGGTAGCTTCACCTGGTCTGAGTCTGGGCTGGTCTTTTCTTCCCGAGGGCTTCCAGTCTCGTGTTGTCTCGAAGGCCAGCTTGATGTGTGGATTGCTGGATCACAGGTCAGATGTCCCAGCTTCATGGACAGTCTGCTGTGTACCTGTGATCAAACTATAGGCACTTCTTTTTCTTTGCAATTTTAAAAAAGCTTTGAAAAAAGTTTAGTTCCATCTCCTACCCACTTTTTCCATGGCACTCGCATCTTGATGAATTTTAAAAGCTCTTTGCATATCAGTGGTTTGTCATAATGGTGCAAACATTTCCCTCCAGCTTACCATTTGCACTGACATTTTGTTTGTCACGGTTTTTTATGTACAGAAGTAAAATAACTTTGCATATGTAAATTTATCCATCTTTTCCTTTATTTTTTTCTTCATGATTTCTCTGTGTTGAAAGAAACCCTCCATGTATTAGGGGAAAATTCTGTTGTGTTTTCTTCAAGTTTTATTTTGGGGGTTTATAATGTTTATTAAATGTAATATTCTTGAAATTTATTTTGGTGTGTGGTATGATAGGGATCTTTTTTTTTTTTTAACAGTTATCAGTTAACATATTTACAGAGAAATCTGTTCTTTTCATTTTGTTTTGAAATTTGAATTTCTCAAGATGCTGGGCATGTTCTGAGATTTTTGTCTGTTTGGATAATCTGTGTCTAGAGTATGGTTTTATAAGGTGCTATTTTTATAAATCATTGTATGCACACATATGTTATTCCTTTTTCTTTTTTTCTGGACATCTCTTAGGTTTTCTCAGTTATTACCCTTTTGGATAAGCTTTGAAACTGATTGGTCAAATTAAGAAAAATAACCTACCCTCCACCAAAGAAGGACACTCTCTCCCTCCGCAGGGATGCGCTTGGGAGCCATGTGACAACATGACACGTGCTTTGAATTCCTCAGGGAGAAGTGCTGGGATCAGGGGTTTGGCTGCTTTGATGAGGCTGTCAGCCTGTAACCCTAGAATTAGCTCTTTATTTATTTTTAATGTTTATTTATATCTGAGAGAGAGAGAGAGAGAGAGAGAGAGAGAGAGAGAAAGAATGAGCAGGGGAGGGGCAGAGAGAGAGGAGACGCAGAGTCCGAAACAGGCTCCGGGCTCTGAGTTGTCAGCACAGAGCCCGACACAGGGCTCGAACCCATGAACCCCGTGAGATCATGACCTGAGCTGAAGTGGGACGCTTAACCGACTGAGCCACCCTGGCGCCCCAGCTCCTTATTTGGAAACAGACGTTTAAGACCTGCCTGGAATGACTCGGTTTTTACTCTGTTGTGTCGGTGACGATTCAATAGCTTGTCTCACAGAGAAGCTATGTGGGGTACGCAGGGCTGTGGAGGCCTGAGCCGCTCTTATCTCCCACCGCCTCTGGCGTGGCCTGGGTCACATTACTTCTCTGAGCCTCCGTTTCCTCAGCAGTAAAATGGGGATGATTATACCCCCGTGCCTGATGGCCTTGGGGATCAGATGACAGAAGGAGCGCCCACTTACCTGGGCTTCACCTGCTGTCTCGCTGCTCCTTCTCAGTCTCCTTTCCTGGGGCCACCTTCGCGCTGACTTCTCCCTCTTGGAAGTTCACAGTGCTCAATCCACAGATTTCCGCACTGGTTCCTGGGGTGTCTCCCGGTCTCCCCGTGCTTCCAACCGTTTATGTGGAAGGCTTCCCAGTTTCTGGGTGTGTGTCAAACCCCAGCAGCCCTCCAGATCCTTCAGAGCCCTCCTGGCCCTGAGGTGTCTCTTCTTGCCTTCTCTGTCTCAGGTGTCCTGTGTCGTTTCTGTGACGAACATGTGTTTGTCTCTGCCACTTGAACTCTTCCTAGTTCCTTCGTAGTTTCTTATGTGTTTCTTTTCTTTTTTTTTTTTTTTTTAACGTTTAGTTTTTGAGACAGAGAGAGACAGAGCGTGAGTCGGGGAAGGGCAGAGAGAGAGGGAGACATAGAATCCAAAGCAGGCTCCAGGCTCTGAGCCGTCAGCACAGAGCCTGATGTGGGGCTTAAACCCACAAGCTGTGAGATCATGACCTGAGCTGAAGTTGGACGCCCAACCAGCTGAGCCACCCAGGTACCCTTCTTCTGTGTCTCTTACTGTCCTCTGTCTCTAACGTGCATTGTAATTTCCTTATTCTTGACTTGCTGTGTCTTCCATTGGACCGTAAGCTGCTCTAGCAGGGATTTTTGACCTTTTTAATGTTTATTTTTGAGACAGAGGGAGACAGAGCATGAGTGGGGGAGGGGCAGAGAGAGAGGGAGACACAGAATCTGAAACAGGCTCCAGGCTCCGAGCTGTCAGCACAGAGCCCGATGCGGGACTCAAACCCATGAACCGTGAGATCATGACCTGAGCCGATGTTGGACGCCTAACCAACTGAACCACCCAGGTGCCCCAGGAGTTTTGACCTTCTACATCTGCTTTGTTTTGTAGCCCTGGCACCTAAACCAGTGCCTGGCGTGTGTGTGTATGTGTGTGTGTGTGTGTGTGTGTGTGTGTGTGTGTGTGTGTGTAGTAGGTGCTCAATAAATGTTTGTTGGTTGAATGAGTGAAAAAAATGTAAAGTACCTGGCATACCGTGCTTGGCATACAGAAGCACTCAGTGCGTTATTTCCCCCATGTCCTCTCTTGGATAGTTCTATTAAATCAAATGCTTGTGAATTGGATGTTTTAAAACACAGTAGAGGAACTCACCATTAAATGAATCTTTTTGGGTATCTTTCAGTGAAAAGGAATTGAGTAGTTACCCTCTCCTGTTACCTGCTTGCAAGGCCAATTTTTCACATTTATTGGCTTCTTTAAAGTGATGTGTCCCTGTTTATTCATTCTTGTTTCCCAGAGGGGCTCATTACTGTGCCTCAGAAGGGATAGGTCAGGGTGGGTGCAGGTCTCGGTTAGAAAGGTTTGCCGGTCAGTATGTACAAAGAGGGACACTGATCTGTGAAGGGCCTTATTAAGCCCTTTGCGTGTAGGCCGACGGTATGAAAGAAGTTAATGCAAAAATCATGCCGTAGCATATTTCCTCCCTTTTGACTTTGAAGGCGGCCTACACATGTGCGGTCTAGAGGCTCTTACAGGATTCCGCCTCCCCTAGCAGATGGGGAAGGTGAAATGGGGCAGCGCCTCACTGTTAGGTAATCAAACAGGAGTCCTCTAATCATGAAATAAGAAGCTCTTTGAAGCTCCGTGCTAATTCCTTCGGGTACCCCCCCTTCCCCCGCCCCATCTGACCTGCCCTCATGCACTTGAGTTAAGAAGTTTTCTGGCAAAACTTACAAAGAGGAATTATCCGAGCTTCAAGCACTCTTGTATGTGTCGTAATTAGACAAGTGGAGAGTCGAGTGTGGAACTTAGGTCTGAGTGGAGGACGTAGCATTTTTCCCCTCGCTCCTTCAGCTGATAATAAGGGATGCCATGGCTACACGTGGAGATATTCTGGGAGATGTAAGTGTGGACTTGCTTTTTCTCGTCTTTCCTCTAAAGGCGGAATCATCGTAGGATAAAGTAGCCCCGCTTATCCGGGGTCTCTTTACTTCTAAAAACATACACTCTGGAACCAGGAAGGTAACCAATGGAAAGTGGTGCCTGAGCAACGGGCTGGTTGATCCCTCCAAGTTCATGTCCTAGGCTCCAGTGCGACTGGTCCCTGCATAGCATCCTTGTCGCTCTTACCTTTCGCCAGCTCACCCTGGAGTTAAAGGTTAAGGGCCAGGGGTGGGCATGGGCTCGGTGGGTTTCTGTGGCCTTTACCGGCCTGTGTCTGGGTGACGGGCCACAGAGGGAGGACCGACTGCAGTGCCTTTTTATATGTGCGCCCTGGCTGGGTGCACCCGAAACACTTTCTCTCAGCTTTTTATAAACCATAGGAGTTACAGCCCATAGTATAAAATGCACCAGACAGCTCACTGAATAGTTAGCTTAGACTAATACACAGATTTAACTGTTGAATAAGGCTTGGTTACCTAAAACCTCGCCAGGGTACAGGGTTCTCAAGCCACAAACTGCAAATCCCTGGCAACGTATCTGGAACTTCAACCCAGTTGTGGCGCCCTGCCCGTTCCTGCTCTTTTCTCTGGCTCTGTGCCGCCCTCCGTTTCTTTCCATGTCTAACGCTGGTCCATCCCTCCTTGTATCAGAACTGATGTGCTAATTACAGAGAGCCATCCGTCTCTTCAGTCTGCAGTTGCCTGAAGTTCAGTCTTAAAAGTACAGAGACTTCTTTAAACTGTATTCTTGTCGCGGTAGCTGTTTCTGTTCTGAGTTGCCACTGCCTAGATTACTG